CATTGAGCATGGAGCCTACTTAAAAAAATAATTATTATTATTTATATAAACTTTTTTTTATTAAGTAAACTCTACACCCAACATGGGGCTTGAACTCATTATCCCAAGTTCGAGTCACATGCTCTACTGACTGAGCCAGTCAGGCACCCCAAGAAATAAATATTGAATACTCATTAGGTGCTTGGACTGTGGCAGTGAACAAAATAGGCAATAATGCCTGTTCTCATGGAGATTATATACTGGCAAGGGGAAAGAGACAATAAACAATGAATATATAAAATGAGTAAATTAATATATTAGCATATGATAAGCATTATGAAAAAATAAAAAATAGAATAGGTGAAAAGGGATTGTAATACAGGGTGGGGATTGCAGATGGGTTATAATTTTAAACAAGGTAGTCAGGATGGCCTCATTGAAAAGGTAACATTTGAACAAAGACTTAGAGGAGGGGAGGGGATTACTGTGTGGCTTTCTATGGGAAGACTGTCATAGGCAGAGGGAACAGCTGATGTGCTTGAAAAACATCAAAGAAACCACTGTGACTAGAGCAGGGTGACCAGTGGGGGAGAGTGATAGAAGATGAGGTCAGAGAGATAATGGGGACCTCATCCTGTAGGGCTATGAGGGCCATCATAGAGACTTAGGCTTTCACTCTGAGTGAAATGGAGAGCAGCAGAGTAGAGCAGTGACATGAAGTGACTTACATTGAAGAAGGATTTCTCTGGTTGCGGTTGATGCACTGTAGAAGAACAAGGGAAGAAGCAGAGAGACGAGTTAGAAGGCTAAAGCTATCCAGGCAAGAGGTGATGATGGCTCAGACAACAGTGGTACCAGTGAGAAAAGATGTATTTTTAAGGTAGAATCAATAGGATTTCTTGGTTGATTGGATGGAATATAAGAAAAGAGTTGAGAATGACTCCAAAGTTTTGGCCAGAGTAGCTGGAAGGATGGATTAGCTGAGATGGGGAAGGCTGGGAGTGGAAGAGGTTTGATGGGCAAAGAGTTCAGTTTGGGTTGAATTTGAGATGTCTATTAGACATTCAGCTGGTGATGATATGTGAGTAAAAGTTGTATATCCAAGTCTGGATTGAGGAGTGAAATCTGGACTAGAGGTTTAAATTTGCATTTGGAAGACATTTAAACTCAGGAGAAGAGATCACCAAAGGAATGACTGTAGATGGGGAAGATAAAAAGGTAAGAGCTGAGCCTCAGGGCCCCTCAAGATATAGAACTGAGGGGGCAAACTATAGTTGTGGTGTAACAGGCATAGAGCTACGGAGCGAGGAGCTAAAACTTAGCAAAATAAGGTGGAGTGTGGAAAGCAGGGCCTGAGTAAAATGGAACACAGAAGCTATGTAGTGAGGGGCACTAACAGGGATATACCACACAGGATCGTTGAAGTTGGAAGTGCTTAAAAGCTCAAATTTTGGGAGCAGTTTGGCCCTCATGACCTTAAGTCCCAGCTTCAGGGGATGGCAAGGGCCAGGGCCGGCATAATGAAAGAACTAGCCATATCTCATAAATGTATTTGAAGGAATAAAATATCTCCTTTCACTTATAGAGATGCCAGCCAACAAAGAAAATCTTTGGACTTATCAAAAGCTTTTGAAGAAGAGTCTAAACACAGTGCTGATGAAGAGGGTTCAAGAACATCTGCACCGAAAATAAAAGATTCCTTGTCAAAAACGAAAAAGTCCTCATCTTCCTCCTCCTCTTCCTCTTACTCTTCTTCCTCCTCATCTTCATCTTCCTCCTATTCCTCTTCTTCTGAGTCCAGATATTTAGACTCCATTGGTAAGCAGTTTCTTTCATTTGAATTCAGACTCCTCCAGGAGACATCCCAATCTTAATAGGAGCTCTCCCACCATATCTACTTCCCAGTTTTCTCCACCAGTCTGATTTTCTGGTCTTAATTGCTTGCTTTGTGCTTTCTTTCATTTCCCCTGTACTTCTGCTTCACTTTGGTTAAGTGTGGCCATGGCTGTCTTTGCTTACTGTAAAAAGTTGTCTCTCGGTGATGTTCCCTTTCCCCTCCCTGATTCCTGTTTACTCTTGCATCCCTGCTTTTCCTTCCCACATGATAGGATCTATTAGCTCTTATCCAACTTCCACAGATCTAGACATGTTTTTAAGAAGCATTCCTCCCTCCAGGTCAGTTGGACTGGGAGACTCATGTGCACCAGAATCTGCCTGGGCTAATGGAAATGGATCAGGATGACTGTGTCGTTTGGCCTAGAGATTCACTCTTCCGATATTTTGAATTGCTAGAAAAACTTCAGTATAACCTAGAGGAGCGTAAGCGGTTGCAGCAGTTTGCAGGTATGGATTCAGGGCAGTCATGGGGACCAGGGGTTAAGTACATTGGAGTAACATATTGGACTAGCATATATAACTGGGGAGAAGGAGGAGAGTGTCCACTATTTGGGCATTTCAGCTTCTGAATTTCCACCTCGCACTTAAAAAGGCAATTCCTTGGTTTGGTATGTCACATTCTTATGTCCTGATTTCTTATAATCTAGAGAGAAACTGACAGCTTGCTTCTCCAGTAGGGAAAACCTAAATCCTATGAGGTCCGAGCTTGTTTCCCAAGAGGAACTAGTGTCCACTTGCAGGTGTTGGGTGTTAGTATAAGGTGGGCTCTTGCTCGGTTTGTGCAGTGCTCTCCCTTTTGGACCTGTTTCTGCTCTCTGAAGGGCATACTTCAGACCTGAGCAGTAGGGCCTTACCCTCAACTTGGATAGCAACGGGGATCAGACAGTGAGCAGAGAGCTCACAAGTGCCCACTGCTTCCAGGCCCCCAAAGAGGTTTATGAATTGTAGGCTTTTCTTCCTTTCAGACCCTTCTAGTGTCAGCCTAGACAGAAGTATGTACATTATTTAAATAGTAGAGTTAATTTAAGTGGAAAACTACTTGCTCAAAATTATTTCCCCTAAATTGCTCCTTTGAAATTTCACCACTGAGAGATGAATTGACGTTAATAAATTCTCCCTCTAAAAATACAAAAACTGGAAAAGTTAGGGGCCATTTTTTATAATTTAATAGGGATTAGTGTTGTCTTTCTCATACCTAATTGTCAGCTTAATGTAAAAATAACAATGAGGGAAGAGGAATGTGTGTGTGGCAGGCACAGGAGGGCAATCAGAGGAATTTGTAACGGTGAAACATGAAATTTAGAGCAGGATGTCACAGACAGGCTTTGCCTGCTTCATAATGTTGCCTAAGGTTAATCCTGTTCTTTCCAGTTGTCCTCAGTCCTGCCTTCCCACTTGTTCTCTGGGTAGAAACAGGGTGAAAGAGAGGAAAAGGAGCAAGGTAGCTTCTTTAATCTGGGTTAATTCATCTATGGCAGAGAGTACTGCCTCATAGGGCTTAATGAAAGTAAAGGTTCATAAAGATTTGTGTGGGAGCCTAGAACCCAGAAAAGCAGAGTCTTTAAACATTTGTATGTCCTGAATATTCTTAGCTTTGTAGCCTCACAGCCCCGTCTCTTTACAGTGCAGGCACTGATGAACTTTGAAGACAAAGAAAGCTGACAATGGATGGCTTCTATTTCTTTGGCAAAAATTAATGAAAGAAATAGTTGGAAATGGAAAACTCAAAGTATAAATGTCTAATAAATACAGTTGATAATTACTTAGTGGTCTGTCTCTGAGACATAGGGAATACGGAAATGTTTAAAGTCAGGCTGAAAAAATTAGTTCAGGTGCCACTGGGGCCCATGGTCCTTGCCTTTCTACTCTTTCTACAGCTCCTGAATCTCACTTCTTTCTTGACTTTGTCATTGTAACCCCCACCCTTCCTGCAACCTTTACTTCCTGGTAGAGTCCTAATTTTACCGTCTCCCTCCCTGATGGGTACAGGCCTCTGGGGGTGGGAGGGTAAAGAGATCCCAGGAGCTGTACGGTAAATAATTGAGAACTATTGTTTCCATTGCCTATTCTATGAACACTGCTTCTCCTATCCACCATTAACTTTCATCAAACATCAGGGCGCCTGGGTGGTTCAATTGGTTAAGCCTCTGACTCTTGATTTCTCTTCAGGTCATGATCTTAGGGTCGTGGTATCAAGGCCCTTATCGGGCTCAGCACTCAGCGCAGCGTCTCCTTGTCCCTCTCCCTCTGCTCCTCCCTGCCACTCACATGTGCTCTCTCACTCTCTCTCTCTCTCTCGAATAAATAAATAAGAAAATCTAAAAAAAAAGCTCTTTAATCAAACATCATTTGATTAAAGGGTCCATTTAGGGGGCGCCTGGGTGACTCGGTTCAGCATCTGGCTCTTAATTTGAGCATCCACTTTCAGCTCAGGTCATGATCTCATGCGTCATGGGATCCAGCCCTAGGTTGGGCTCCTCACTCAGCAGCAGCAGATTCTCTCCCTCTGCTTGTCCCCCCTACTCACTCACAAGTGAGCTCTCTCTCTCTCTCTCTCAAATCTTTATTTGAGAGAGAGAGAGACCATGGAGGGGGGCGGGGAGACAGAGGGAGAGGGAGGGCAGACTCCCTGCTGATTAGGGAGCAGGACCCTGGGATCATGACCTAAGCTGAAGGGAGATGCTTAACTGACTGAGCCACCCAGGCGCCCCTAAATAAATAAATCTTTTTTTAAAAAAAGGTCCCTTTATTCCATTTCCTTGCCATTGCTCCAGGCGGTGATTCCACTATGTAGGAATGTTCAAATCAGTAACTGTCCCATAGATTTTTAGTGTTAGAAGAGAGACCTCAGAGTTCATTTATCTCCCATCAAATCAGGAACACCTTTTAGAACATCACTGAAAGGGGGTACCCAACTGAGACTTTAACTTTTCTAGTTACTGGGGATTTATTATCTAGAAGGGATCCCATTCCACTGTTGAATGACTCAAGTCTTTACAAATATTTGTTACTAAACATTCTGTCATTTATTGAGTGTTTAACATGCACGAGGAGATATATATATTCATACATAAAAAACACTGAGCTGGGGGCGACTGACCGACTGAAGTAAAAATTGTCTAAAACCAAAAACCAACGTTATGTTACAAGGAAAAGCATTTGTTATTCCCCATAAAATGAGAAACAAAAATGTTTTAAAATAAATGTCAATATATAATATGTATTAAAAATCCTATCGTGGGTGCCTGGGTGGCTCAGTCGTTAAACGTCTGCCTTTGGTTCGGGGTGATGATGCTGGGGTCCTGGGATCGAGTCCCGCGTTGGGCTCCCTGCTCCTCAGAAACAGGGAGCCTGTTTCTCCCTCTGCCTCTGTCTGCCGCTCCCCTCTGCTTGTGTTCTCTCTGTCAAACAAATAAATAAAATCGTTAAAAAAAAATCCTATCGTAAGGAAAAAAAATCCTATCATAAGAAATAGGGTATGACTATATGGAAAGAAGAGAGGGATGGGTAAAACAGGTGAAGGGGAGAGGTAGGGGGGAAAAGATGGTGGAGGAGTAGGGGACCCTATTCCAACTAGTCCCCGGAATTGAGCTGGATATCTACCAGACCACTCTGAGCACCCACGAAATCAGCCTGGGATGTAAGAAGATCTGGATCTCTACAAACAGAATATTGCAGTCGGTTGGTTTCGAGACTAATAAAACAATTTCTAAGACTTAAAAAAAAAAAAAACAGGTGAAGGGGATTAAGAGTATGTTTATTGTGATTAGCACTGAGTAATGTATAGATTGTTAAATCATTATATTGTACACCTGGAACTAATAATAACAATTATACTTGAACTAAAAAAATCGAAAATAATAGCAATAAAAAAAACAACAAAAATTTATTTGGAAATTAAAACTAGAGGGGCGCCTGGGTGGTTCAGTCAGTTAAGCATCTGACTCTCAATTTCGGTGGCTCAGGTCATGATCTCAGGGTCCTAAGATTTTTTTTTTTTTTTATTCATGAGAGACAGAGCGAGAGAGAAAGGCAGAGGGAGAAGCAGGCTCCCAAGGAGCAGGGAGCCTGATGCGGGACTCGATCCCAGGACCCTGAGATCATGACCTGAGCCGAAGGCAGACGCTTAACCATCTGAGCCACCCAGGTACCCCAGGGTCCTAAGATTTAGCCCTGCGTAGGGCTCCATACTCAGCACAGAGTCCGTTTGAGATCTCTCTCCCCTCTGTGCCTCGCCCTGCTCTCTTCCTCTCTCTCCTTCAAATAAATAAATAATTTAGAAAAACTAGAAATACTATTTTTAGATGATTGTATACCTAGAAACCCCAAAAGAATCAAGAATTAGAGATAACAAAGGATTTCCGTTAAATACAAACAGAAGAGGGTTGGAGAAAGAAACCTGGAAAACAGTAACATTTAAGGGATAGAAGGAGGAAGAGGAGTCCAAAAGAAGCCTGAGAGGGAAGAGCTGAAGAGACAGAGGATAATCATTGTAGAGTAATGTTCTTGGAGCCAAGAGAAAGGAATGGTCCAGTCAGATCTGGATTGGAGCATCCACTGAGCCTGGTAATCAGAATTCAATAAACCTAATAAGACAGAGTAAGGAAATACTATTTAATAAATCTTACATATGATATTCACAAAGTAGATGCTCATTGAGCAGCATCTTTGAGTATCTTTGCTCAGAGTGAATCTGAGGACCAGCAGAATTGGCTTCATCTGGTAACTTGTTGGAAGTGCAGGATCACAGCTCCCATCCTCAGGGTCCTATTGAATCAAGTGTTACATATGCACGTTAAAGTTTCCAAAGCACTTCTTTATAGGTATTTAACAATATCCCCTCTTGGCTTTCTATAGCTGACTTTTTCAAATGAATGATCTATGCAGGCTGTTTCATTTTTTAACTCCTTAATGAAAATGATCTGGTTTCAATTCTACTGGAATGGAAGTTTATTCAACAAATATTTGTTGAGTTCCTATGTTCCAGACACTGTTCTAGACATTAGGATACATCAATGAATGAACAGGACAGAAATCCCTGCCCATCCTAACTAGTTCCTCATAAGATCACCAGGTAATAAATGATAAGTTCCATGAAGACTGATTTTACCTCCTCCCATTTTCCCCCAAATTATCCTTCTAGCAGCCCAGAGCCATGTGATAATAGCTGTACAAAACCAAAAACAAGCAAAACCTTTTTTGTCTAAAGACAAATATCCCCAGGTTGAAAAACCAAGCTTCACTGGTAATGAAGCCATTATTCTTCTCATTCCTTTTATCCCTGCCCTGAGTATCCCTGCTATAGGAATACCCCACTAGGGGCGCCTGGGTGGCTCAGTTGGTTAAGCGACTGCCTTCAGCTCAGGTCATGATCCCAGGGTCCTGGGATCGAGTCCCACATCGGGCTCCCGGCTCAGCGGGGAGCCTGCTTCTCCCTCTGACCCTCTCCCCTCTCATGCTGTTTCTCTCCTGCTCACTCTCTAATAAATAAATAAATAAATAAATAATCTTTAAAAAAAAAAGGAATACCCCACTATTCCAAAGGAAGAGATTGAAGCTCTATGCCAGATAATAATGAGCATTCTTCAGGAACATTTTGCAAGTGACATTACGATTTAGATATTGTTGTGATATAACAAAATTAAAAATTTTTTCACATATGGTTTGTATTGAGCTTTTATTTTAGAGCATAGTTTCCCCCTTTGATCTCCAGTTATTACTTACATCTTCAAATACCATACTGGAACTCAAACTAATGTGCTGCCACTTGGAAACAGAAAAATTAATATTTGTTTTATTATAACATAAGGTATATAAAAAATAATTCAAGAAGGAAAGAAAAAAACTTATAACAACAGTACAGCTTCTACCTACTGTATTACTGTAATAACTAACTTTTATTTTTTTAAAGTTCAACATGGATTGTTATGAATCTACATTCATTTTGCTTTATTATAATTTATCTATATATTGTAATTGTGTCTTAAATTTAATATGAAAGTTTTAAATTTTTAAAAAACGTATTTATTATACTTTCAAAGGTTTAAAACCTCAGAGAATCAGTAGGTCTCAATCCACCTCATTTCTTGAGACTTTGTACTATACTAGTTGGCCTAATGTTTCCAAAGGGATTCATTTCTTTTTTCAACAAAAGTTTTCATGTTCTTTATGTCCCAGCCATGATGTTCAGTTTTGAGGATAGAAAAACTGTTCAGGGGGCGCCTGGGTGGCTCAGTCATTAAGCGTCTGCCTTCAGCTCAGGTCATGATCCCAGGGTCCTGGGATCGAGCCCCGCATCGGGCTCCCTGCTCCGCGGGAAGCCTGCTTCTCCCTCTCCCACTCCCCCTGCTTGTGTTCCCTCTCTTGCTGTGTTTCTCTCTCTGTCAAATAAATAAATAAAATCTTTAAAAAAAAAGAAAAGAAAAGAAAAGAAAAACTGTTCAGTGTATGAATGCAAGCCTTTTTAAAGGCCACTTTTGGAGAGATTTCTGTTCTTTACTATAAGTAGAAATTTCACAATGTTTTACATTTGTATTTTTCCTATTTAGGTGACCTAGGGTGGGATGAAAATTTTTAACTTTTTTTTTTTCCAGAGAGAACACATGCATGAGCTGGAGGGGAGAGGCAAAGGGAGAGGGAGAGTGAGAATCTTAAGCAGGCTCCACACTCAGTGCAAAGCCCAACACAGGGCTTGATCTCACAACCCTGAGATCATAACCTGAGCCGAAATCAGGAGTCAGACGCTTAACTGACTGAGCCACCTGGGCGCCTCAAACATTTTTACCTTTTTATTTTAAAGTAATTTGAGGCTCACAGAAGAGATGCAAAGGTAGTTCCTAGGTACCTGTCACCCAGCTTTCTCTAGTATTAACATCTTACATAACCAAGATATAATAATCAAAATTAATAAATTAACATTGGTAATATGCTATTAATTTAGGTATAGGCTTTACCAGGATTTTGTCAGTTTTCCCACTAATGTCCTTTTTCTGTTCTAGGTTCCAGACCAAGATTCGATATTGCATTTAGTTGTCATGTCTCCTTAATCTCCTCTGCTTGTAATAGTTTCCTTAGTCTCCTTGTCTTTCAAGACCTTGGTATATTTGAGGAGTTCTGGTCAGGTATTTTACAGAATAGGTTCACCTGATGTTTTCTCATTATCATATTGAGGTAATGAACTTTTAGAAGAATACCAGTGAGGTGAAGTGGCCTTCCCAGCACATCATATCAGGAGATATATCATAGTGATATATGTCATAACTGGTGATGTTAACCTTGATCCCTTAGTTAAGGTGATGGTGACCAGGTTTCTCCACTGTGGAGTTAACTCTTTTCCCCCTTTATAAGTAATAAGTACTTGGAAGAAGATACTGTGAGGTTATGCAAATATCTTGTTTCTTCTTAAACTTTCCTCCATTAATTATAGTTCATCAATGAATCTTGCTTGCAGTAATTACTAAAGTGGTGTTCTATTTCTCTTGTTCCTTCTATATTTATTAACTGGAATTCTTTTTGTAAAGAACTGTCCCTGCTCTGAGGTGAACATTTTAAGTCTTTATCTTAGTAGAAGTAGCAATCTCATCACCATGGTAGCCCCTATAATATAGGCCAGGAATGTGTGGGGTAGAATGGATTTATTTATTTAACAAATCCTTTGCTTAATACTATGTGCCAGTAACTGTTAGGCACCTGGGGTACAACAAGGTGTAGTCTCTGCTCGAGACCTTATATTCTAGTCTAGTGTAAGATGAGGCTTAGATTTCTGTATTGCAGACTAGGTAGATTCCTCTGAGCATGGCATATGACCCCACAAAAGCCTTTGTAGGACCAAATAATACTTTATCTATCTGACTGATGTCCTTATTTTTAAACTTCTCTTCAGTGAGGACGAACTGGACTTCCTCCCCTCAACCTGTCTACCCCTCAACACTTCTAACCAGAAGTCTTCACTGTATAACTTCCCCCACCCAAATCTCACACAAATCTCTCTTGTTGGCCAACCATCACAGGGAGCCATACAGGGAAAGGAATTCTGGGAAATCAATTCCATTTTAGCTAAATTAACAAAGTTCAAAACCACTATAGATCATTTGACCATTTTACCTTCATTGAAATTTTCTTCTCCTTTGGCTTCATGACACCACTCTCTTCAGGTTTTCCTTTGGATTCCTTCCCTTCCTCTTCTGCTGTTAGCCATCTTCTTGCCAAGCTTTAAATGTGTGGTCCTCAGCCATTTTTGCTTTATACTCTACAAATTCCAACTAATTTTGTCCACTTTTATGGTTTCAACTACTGTTTGTATGCTGATGACTTCTAACTCCATTTCAACCCAGACCTCTCTTAGAAACTCCAGGAAAAATATTCATTTGTCTATCCTTAGGCATTTCATTTGTCTATCCTTAGGTAATTCATTTCTAATATGTCCAAAATTGAATTATTACCATTCCATCAAAACTGTTCTTCCTCTTCTAATCCCAATAAGGACCGAAAAGCAATTTCCCTCGGTGGGGGGAGTCCTCAATGATCCCCTCCCTACTTTACTCAACTAGTTCCACATTTTTTCTGAAAATCTTTCACTTAAAACACTGCTTCTTGGGGTGCCTGGGTGGCTCAGTTGGTTGGGCGTCTGCCTTCAGCTCTGGTCACGATCCCATGGTCCTGGGATCGAATCCTGTGACCCATTCCCTGCTCAGCAGGGAGCCTGCTTCTCCCTCTCCCTCTGCTTCTCCCCCGCTTGTGCTCTCTCTCTGTGTCTCTCAAATAAATAAATAAAATCTTAAAAAAAACCACTGCTTCTTGTACCAATTTTGGTATTAAAATTCTTAGATGCAAAAAAAGAATTAATCTTGAGCTAGTCTAATCATAGTAGTAGTAACATTTAGTGGATTTGTACCAGTGCTGGACACATCAAAGGCACTTTAAAATGCAAGGGAATAGGAGTGTCTGGGTGGCTCTGTTGGTTAGGTGTCCAGCTCTTGGTTTCAGCTTGGGTCCTGGTCTCAGGGTTATGGGATCAAGCCCCCCATCAAGCCCCGCATCAGGTCCTGTGCTCAGAGCAGAGTCTGCCTGAGATTCCCGTCACCCTCTTCCCCTCCCCCTGCTCAAGCACATGCATGCTCTCTGGCTCTCTCTCAAAGAAGTAAATAAAATAAATCTTTAAAATACAAGGGAATGAACATAATTGGATTGATGTCAACAGCACTACAACCCATGCCTAAATAAAGTTCATCCAACACATATTTTCTCTGTAAGGCACATCACAGCCTTCCTGTGCTTAGGAACACTAGAAAGAACTTTAGCACTAAGCGTAAGGGCCATTTTAAACAGTGAAATAACCAACAAAAAGGACAAAAATGCTAAACTTGTGGCACTAAATTGGTCATGAAAAGGACATGACTTATAGTATGAGAAGGCAGTGGAGCATTGCCGTATTTAATCTCAGCTGGAAACGTGCACATCAGGGGACTCAAATTTTTCACCACTCTGCATTAATCTGTGAGTGATTATGAAAACACTGCAAGTATTGATTTTGGTTCACAAATTTTAATGAGTAGGCTAATTCACAAATACAGAACTCATAAATAATGAGAATTGATTGTAAATGTTCTGGTATAATTTGGAGCTTGAGACTACTTGGTCTTGTGACATTGCCATCTCAACTTGCAGTTTCTAGGTTACCTCAACAGGCAAGAGATTACAGGAGCATCATTCACTAGCTCTTAAAGTCTTTGGTCATTTACTATTCACTGGCCAGAACTAATCACCTGCCCCCACCCAACAGAAAGACATCTGGAAAATGTGGGTGGGGACTGCTTGGATAGCTAATGAGCAATATATATTTCAGTTACAAAAGGCAAATCAAAAAGGAGAAAAATAATTGTAATTTACAAAGGGAAGATTGTGTTCTTGTCAGACAGAGTACCCTATGACAGGTTTGGGACAGTGAGGATGTTTCAGATTTCTCAACTTCTCCGGCTCCTCTTGGGTATCTCCATTTCAATTGCTAATTACAGAGCATTCCAGTCACCCCCACCAATCTTACCCATTTCACTTTAGCTAGCTACATGATTAATTTCTTGTTCTAGATTTCTGTAATTTCAGTTTGTTGTTTCTGTTTTTCTCTCTTTCTCTTTGATCATTCATAGATTGGTACTCTTCTCACTCTTGTTGGACTTTACCAAACCCCAGTTGACCCTTGAACAACATGGGTGTGGGTCCACCTATACACCGTTGTTTTGTTTGTTTGTTTGTTTGTTTAGATAAATACAGTACTGTAAATGTATTGTCTCTTCCTTATGATTTTGTTAATAATATTTTCTTTGCTCTAGTTTATTAGAATATGGTATATAATACATATAATATATAAAATATGCATTAATCGATGGTTTATGTTGTTGGTAAGGCTTGCAGTTAACAGAAGGCTATTAGTAGTTAAGTTTTTGGGTAGTTAAGATTTTTGACTGCACAGTGGTGGGTTGGGGGGTGCCCCTAATCACCTGCCTTGTCAAGGGCCAACTGTATAAGCAATAACCTGCTTATATCGAATAGCTTGCTGTATTAGCTATAAACCCTAAATACTTTACCCTCAGTTGGCACGTAGTCTGAATCTTTGGTGGCAATAGGATTGCTTAACCAACCACTTGCTCCATCATCATGTGGATTGCCAAGAATTTCCCAGCCTGGGTTGAGGGAGTACTCATTGTTACTCTCTCCGTTTGAGCCAACTAGTTTCATACCTGTTCTAAAGGTCTTTTACTCAAGACACTACTTTCTGGTAAGAATTTCTGCATTAATTAGGGCTCTTTAGTTTCAAATAAAATAATTCAGAGTGAGCTAGTCTGATAACAATAGTAGTAACATTTAGTGAATGTTTATTTTGTACCAGTGCCTGGCACGTGATAGGTGCTTACTCTTTGTTGGATGAATGCCACATGCTGTGCTAAGTACTTCAAGTGCATTATCTAATTTAGTCCTCTCAATAAGTCCATGCTAGGATCTCTCCTTTTTATAGAACAGAACATTATGACACAGAGAGATTTAAAAACTGCCCACAACATACAGCTAGTAAACATTGGAACCAGGATTTGAACCCAAGCCATCTCATTTTTTTTGCTATGCTATTAGCAAAAAAAGAGAATTTATCATAAGAGGGTTGTTACAGAACCAAGGGCAGAAATTCAAATGGATTGCATGATGGGCTGGAACCAGGAGATAGAAAACTATTGGGAATCCAGGCCATATTCTTTGATTCTCCTCTCTGCTTTCCAGACTAGATGTGGTAACTTTGATGGGCAAAGGGAAAATATTAGCAAAGGGGTGCAATAGATCATTTCACTAATCCTGACTTTTTATTTGCCTTGGAAAATACTAGCACCGTCCTCAACTTTGGAGGCCTGGCCAAATCATTCCATTTTGGTGGGGTCTCAATTTCCTCATTTATAAAATGAGAAGTTTTTACCACAGGATCCCTCAGGTCACTTCCAGTTCTAAAATTCTACGATCCTAAGTGAACTTTTTAGGGCAGAAGCTCATTAATAATAGATTTGAATGTGTGGGCTTGGGGGATAGAATAGAGGAGGGTTCTGAGGAAAGAGGGACAGAATAATGGTTTAAGTGGAGCCTCAGTGTTGAATTACTATTTAGAGCTGGTATCAAGTAAAGGCCTTTGGGGATATATAAATGGAGGACAGAAAAGACTTCTCGTCTTGACCAGACCCAGTTATTCTGAATAGGATCTCTCTGATCTATGAGAAGTACTCTGTGGTGTGTGTGTGTGTGTGTGTGTGTGTGTGTGAGCATGTGTGCGTGTGTGCATGCGTGTATGTGTGAGTGTGGGAAGTAGCCCCCTTGCACAGTGATTTAATCTGGTTTATCTCTTTTCTCAGCTCAGAATTTTCTACAGGGCTTTCACCTAGGCCACAGGAAGAGAGCCAGAGGGCAAACCCAAACATTTGAAAGGCCCAATGAGCAAGTCGCACATCCATAAAATGAGAGGTTTGGTGTGTGGAACCTCTGAAGTCCTGCCCCATTCTTAGCATTTTGTGGTTCTTGGTACTGAATTGAAAGCAGCTCTCCTCTTCCTGAATGCTTTGTCTTTGCACCAGACTTTGGTCTTTATTCCTCTTCTCTGTTTATACCTGGCTGCCCCGCTCCTTTTTCTGGGCCCCCTTTCTGCCTTGATTCTTCAAATCCTACTTGCTTTTTAACTCCTTTGGACCCTCTTTGTTTTCTTATATTTTTCTGCAGCCCCCACCCCTACCCCAACCAGATTACACCCCTGGTTTCCAGGTCTCCACCTCCATGTCTGCCCACTCCAATCTGCATCCTGGCTTTTAACTGAGGCTAAGTTAGCCTTGGGCTCCTCCAAGGGCCCCCTGGGATCCCCTATCACTGGTCCCTCTCACAGAAGCACACCTTTTTCCAAAGCCCAATGATCAGGTATTCAGTAGCTCAGGTGACAAACCTGTCAGGTTACAGATACTGTTTCCTGAAAGACCACACTACAGTGTCAGTGGCAACTCGGGCTGCCTCCCAGTGCCCTGCCCTCACCTGGCTATCCCACACAAGGTGAGAGTAACCAGAACTCACCTCTTCCCGGTGCTCACCTGGAAGCATGGCTCTGAGCTTCTGGCCTCTGCTGCTGCCACTATCCTGCACAGGTGAGCAGGGCTGGGGATGAAGGGGATGGTTGCTAAAAAGAGACTTAAGAATGCAGAGAGGGGTGCCTGGGTGGCTCAGTTGTTAGGCGTCTGCCTTCGGCTCAGGTCATGATCCCAGGGTCCTGGGATCCTGGGGTCCTGGGATCGAGCCCTTCATCGGGCTCCCTGCTCCTCGGGAAGCCTGCTTCTCCCTCTCCCACTCCCCCTGCTTGTGTTCCCTCTCTCGCTGTGTCTCTCTCTGTCAAATAAATAGATAAAATATTAAGAAAAAATAAGAATGCAGAGATTAACTGGTTTCTATAAAAGATAAAGGACGATGGGCAGAGACTAAGGCTAGGGAGAAAGTGAGGGGTAAGAAAGCAGGTCAAGACTTCCTGTAGGCTGATTCAGTAAAGGGACTTGGCTCGCCATCCCCTTCGCCTCCTCCTTAGATCCAAGCTAGGGCTGGGCTCCAGGGCAAGGCTGAATTGGGTTCTAGGCTCTTCCCCTTTAGTGAGCTCCTGTTTCTCTCTTCACAGTGACTCTGGTCCCTACTGGGATTCAGTCCCTGGACCCTGGTCTCTCCCTCCTGAAGTCATTGCTCTCCACCATGGACCAGGCTCCCCAGGGGTCCCTCAGCCACTCACGGTTCTCTGCATTCCTGGCCAACATTTCTTCTTCCTTTGAGCCTGGGAGAATGGGGGAGGGACCTGTGGGGGAGCCCCCACCCCTCCAGCCCCCTGCCCTCCGGCTCCACGACTTCCTAGTGACCCTGAGAGGCAGCCCAGACTGGGAGCCAATGCTAGGGCTGCTAGGGGATGTGCTGGCACTGCTGGGACAGGAGCAGACCCCCCGGGACTTCCTGGGGCACCAGGCAGGTGTGCTGGGTGGGCTCGCAGAGGTGCTGCTAGGAGCCTTGCTTCCCGTGGGACCTCCAGCCCCTACCCGGCCCCCGTGTACTCGTGATGGGCCCTCTGACTGTGTCCTGGTGGCTGACTGGTTGCCTTCTCTGCAGCTGCTGTTAGAGGGCACACACTGGCAGGCGCTGATACAGGTGCAGCCCAGTGTGGACCCCGCCAATGCCACAGGCCTCAATGGGATGGAGCCCACCCCTCACTTTTTGCAGGGTCTGTTGGGTTTGCTCACCCCAGCAGGGGAGCTGGGCTCTGAGGAGGCTCTTTGGGGAGGCCTGCTGCGCACAGTGGGGGCCCCCCTCTCTGCTGCCTTCCAGGAGGGGCTGCTCCGTGTCACCGACTCCCT